GTACCAAGACCACAGTGTCTCGAGACCGAGACAAGACCAAGACTTTTAGGGACTGGTCTTGTCTTGGTCGAGACCGAGACAAGAGACCGAGACAAGACCTGTCCCTAAAAGTCTTGGTCTTGTCTCGGTACCAAGACCACAGTGTCTCGAGACCGAGACAAGACCAAGACTTTTAGGGACTGGTCTTGTCTTGGTCGAGACCGAGACAAGACCAGTCCCTAAAAGTCTCGGTCTTGTCTCGGTCTCGAGACACTGTGGTCTTGGTCTTGACTTTGTCTCGGGTTAGGTGGTCTTGACTACAACACTACATAACAGCAGAAACACCTACTACATAAAAACTAACACAACAACATGAACAACAACAGCTCAGCAGCTACAGGAAGTAAACACCGAGCCGTCTGCAGGTGTTTACCTGTCGAAGACGACATGCTAACACACATCCCCGCTTTCCTCTGAACTCCTCCGTCGGCCCAGTTCAGAAAATCCACGGCTGTTTTRTCGCTCCACCTGACAAAAAATCAACCAGATCAATCTGCAGAYGAGCTGAACAACTGCTGAAAGTAGCTAAAAGTAGCTGAAGCTGCTTTGTTAAAGTTGAAAGGACCAGCACAAAAAAGATTGGCTGAACAGAGCAATGAAAACCTCACTGGAGCCGAACAGTGGCTAAAACACACAAAACAGTTAACACAAGCTAAAATTAGCAYGGCTGTTTCTGAAAGCCGAAACATTCGAAACTGTTGCTAAAATTTAGATTTAGAAAAATAGTTGTTAAGCCTGAAGCCAGAACAGTAGCTAAAAGCTAAAACATTCAAAAGTGTTAAAAGCTAAAATTAGCCGAACAGTTGATTAAAGCTAAAATGAGCAAAAGTGTTTCTAAAACATTCAAAACAGTAGCTAAAAGCTAAATTCAGCCTAACAGACTAAAACCAGAACACTAACAGCAGATAAAACAAATAAATGAAAGCACTAATAATGATTCAGTTAATTAAACACACACACACACACACACACACACACACACACACACACACACAAAGTGACTGCTACACACCTGACCTCCTCTCCTGATGGGTTGAAGGAAAGTCCGATCCACCAGTCTGTCGGRCCCAGAGAGAACTGTGAAGAAACAAAGATGAACAGAACTTCACCGACCCTCTTCAGGTTCTGAGCAGCCGAACAYTAGAACCTCGTCTCCCTTTAGCCCCGCCTCCTCACCATCCTTGGCACCACGGAGGCTGTCTGCTGCCAGCAGGCGGCCCGGGTCCCGCCTCTCTCTGAGTGGAGCCACTCGAGCGGTAAAGTGCTGACAGTTTAGGGTCTTTTTCGGCTCGTTTGTGTGTTTATGGAAACACTGGAGTCTGAATGAGGAGCGACGGAGTTTGTCTTCAYGCTTGTTGACTTCTGGTTGTTTGAGCTTAAATAACAGCTCCTCAAGGCCGTTAAACCACAATAAAACTGTGATTAAACAGATTCTTCAGCTGTGTGTGTGTGTGTGTTCACTGAAAACAAGTAAACATTTAAGCAAAGGTTTAGACCCAGTCCAGATGATGATTTATTGTTTAAAACAGGATTTTTTGTTGTTTCTAAGAAATAACGTTGGCAGAACATGACCCAACATGTTGTAACTGTGCCTGGACTGTGTGTGGCGCCGCAACGCTGCTTCAAAAATACACCTGGAACAGGAACAMGASGAGGAGAACCAACATAAAGCTGACAAGGTGAGCAGAAAACACCTGCATCAACCTTTTAGTGTCTCCAAACTCAGGTTCTCCACCARAGGTCTGGGAGCTTCATGGTTCTGTTCCTAGACCRGGTCGTTCTGGACAGAGATCTCTGAGGTTGTTCCTGGCTAAGGTGGAAATCCCAGGATGGGGTCTAATTGGTCCGGACACCCCTAAGTTTTAGAAAAACAGAGATTGTTCCCCCAGTGAAACAACATAAAAACTAGTGCTGGGCAAAGAATAGAAATGTTTAAATCATGATGAATCTAAATATTTTTGAGATTCATCATGATTTATCTAAATATTTTTGTGATTCATCGCAATTAATCCAGATATTTTTGAGATTCATCATGATTAATCTAAATATTTTTGTGATTCATCGCAATTA